CTCTCTCTCTCTCTCTCTCTCTCTCTCTCTCTCTCTCTCTCTCTCTCTCTCTCTCTCTTGCTTTTTCTTGCTGTGTCTTTCTTTTTTCTTTCTGTGGTCCTTATGATTAAACCCAGAATCTTCACACTGAACTACAACCTGAGCTTTTTAAATTTTTTTAAAAAGAAGTTATTGGTGCATTGCTCAGGCTAGTCACACATTTGCTGTTCCTATGCCTCATTCTCCCAGAAAGCTGAGATTTTGCACATGCACTACCATGCCTGGCCAGCATGCTGCAGTTGGAAAAGTAGTGGAGTTTCATCCATCATGACAGGGAATAACTTTGAGCACAGAAATATTGAGTATTGTAGAATTTAAGAGATCAGAGAGATCAATAAGTGAAACAGGAAGATGTATTTAGGTGTGCACTGGGGAAGTGAATTCCTGTTCAAAGGCTGAGTCCATCACAGAGGAATAGTTCTAGTTTTATACATGTTGCAGATTGGGGTTGGTCTATCCAACGGCAAGAAACTTGTGGTCAGGAACAAGACAAAGGCTGTGACTCAAGCTGTGACAATTTTGTAGTTTAGCATATTTTGGTGGCTTTGTTTGGATAAAGAACAGGATCTTATGAGAACAGGAGGTTATGAATCTTTCTTTCAAGTACAGTTACTAATTTTATTTGAAATAAAAGGAACAACTGTCAGAGGGAGGGAAAAAAACTTGTTTTTCCTTCTTTGAGGCCTGCTTTGTTCCCCCCTTTATGTTTTCTATAAACAAATTTCAATAGAGAACATCATCATCTTTATCATTCACCCTGTTTTGCGTGATGTGGGTTCCCTAATGGGCAGAGTCAGTATTTATTCAGAGCAATTAGGCCAGTGGTGGCGTGTCTGTCTACCAGGTTCTTTATGGCCAACTAACAAGCAGGGATTGCAGACAAGGGAGATTGAGACAAACACCCAAGATAGCCAAAACTACTACTAAAAAGTTCTTGAATCTCCCAAGGATGAAAACCATCCTCCAAAGAGAGAATCCAGATATCCCTTTCATTTTTGTGCTGGGACATGGGCTAATATCTGAATTCTTGCAGTAATGTCTTCCATGACCTTTCCATTGTCATCAGTCTCTAGGCAACAGTTAGATTGAACTTTCTGCACACCTCTCCTTCTTGGACTGGGAGTTGGTCTAAGGCTAATCTATTTTGATTAATTATATTTCTTATTTTTTAGGCTTATCAGGCAAGTAGATATAAGGCCTATATGGTGACATTGGTCATGAGCTCAAGCATGGCTTGTAGTGTTACGATGCAGTTAAGCACATAAATAGGGGTGTGGTACACCCACATTCCATCTTCTGCTCAGGAAGCTGAGCTATGATATGGGATAATTCTCTCTGGGGACCACTTGTCATGTTTCCAATTTTCTATTTTTATATCCCTTTGGAATCTTGCATCAGCACCTCCATAGATAAGGTACCCTGGAATTTTCCCTTGTCTCAAAGGGATTAAAAAGAAGGATGGTTTGTTTAATTATCCCTACATATACAACCTCCTAACCATTTAGCTGGCAGTTGTCAGTATTCCTGCACTCCACAGCCCCAGCAGAGACCAGAGGGTGACTTCCAGTCATTCAGGGGCTCAGATGGGTACCAACAATGGTTTAAAGAGGAAAATCCAGAGAATGGATTCTGGTGGGATAACTGAGAACTGTTTTGTTTTCCCCACCAAAAAGTTTTTCCCAGAGTCTCAATATAGTATTGTTGACCTGCTCTCCCACTGAGTGTGTAAAGGGCTTACCCCAGTGAGAGATGCAGAACCTCACAATGATAGAAGTTTTTAAGGGCCAGATGCATGGGTTCATGAATGTGGGGCTGAGGGAAGATGTGGGTAGGATGAGGCTGTCTTCTGGCATTAATTCTCTTGTTTCCCATGGCCATTGGTCTCACATGTTAGTTCCCTCACAGCATAACATTAGGAGACACTTAGATTTTGGACTATGATTTCAGATAAATCAGTGAACACCTTTCTGGCAAAGGAGAGTGTTCAAGTAACTCTTGCAGAATATGTTCATTGAATGAATGAAAGACTTGGAATCATTAGGCTAAATAGATTTGAGTCCTTTTTTTAAAAAATATTTTAATTTTTCAAGTTTGATTCTGCTTAATCAAACAGTAATGTTATAGGGTAACCCCCAGCTCATGTTGGCAGATCTTCCTGTAGAATTTGTAGTTTATACAATTGTAAGTTCTTATTTGATAATTTGGTCTGGTACGTAACTTTGTAAGGGTTGAAGCCTTTTCCCTCAATGTCTGGAGTGTGCTATGGCTGACTGCCCTAGCTGACTGAGACAGTAGTCCTGGTTACACATTGCCAGCAGAACCATTCAGAGTCTTTGCCTCATTGGAGGGAGTGGGATAGGGAAATGGCTAGTCCCTTTCTGAGGTGCACACAAGAATACAGAACTATATCTATAATATATTTCCCATGACAGACTCCACATGAGGTTGGAGATACGCTTAGCTATGTTGCTCGGCATGCATGAAAGTACAAAGAAATGGTCCCTGTATAATTTGAAGGAAACTTATTTCTGCTTAAGAGACCACCATCTGCTGTTTCCTCCTTCTCAGTATGGACCTCAAACCAGGCTTCATAAAGTGAAAACTTAGAGTCATAACAGATGTAAGTAAGGGTGATTGTTTCCTGAGTCACATATTGATAGTAGGAGGTTGATATGAGTACAAGTACACATTCCCGGTGTTTTCCTGCAAATTTATAATAGGTAGGCTATAGTAAGATTTTTGATGCTTCCCAACCATGTAGTGTAGATGCACTACAAACATCCCTTCATTTCTCTCCTAACAGGTACAGAGAGAAAATTATAACAAGAAGGAAAAGAGATGTATGCTGTTGTTGGAACTCCAAGTTGATCCACAAACTCTGACCATGCATAGAGTGGTCATTTAGCTTCTGGAGTAACCAGAACAAGGCTGTTGTTTCCTCAGGATTCAGCTATGTGTAGATGACGCAGCTTTTGGGGTGAATCAAGCAGGGATGCCATTTTCTGTGGCAGCTTCATAGGATTCACCCAGTTTGGATGGTCAGGCCCCTATTGGCTGA